TCGGATTACAGAGAATATTTTCCAACATTCTTTAAAGATTAATGAGTACTTAAAAATTATATAAAAAAGGTGCTCATATCATTTTCTTAAATTATATTTTTACAAATAAACTCTCCACAGAACAATAATAAACCTGTTTATCACCTTGTTATTACTCCTCAAACATGTAACTATGGCTACTGTTGGTTAAAAACACAGATACTGTTTGGTTTAAAAAAATGCATTTCTGTGTTATTTTAAACTTAATGTAAATAATATTTGTTTCAAATCAGATTATACTTTAAAGCAGTGAAAATTTACCAAATAAAGTTTCAGAAAAATATTTTATTTTTGAAAGATTTTTTAATAAAGAATTTTGCGATGAAAGACTACTAAAAAAAGGCACTAATCAGCTATTTTTTATTCCTGTTTAAAATACACCAGAGTATTTTGCTTACTGGAAATAGTAAATTTAATCCTCTAGCTTTCAATGAAAGCTTCAAGAAAGTTTTCTCTTTTTTTAAATATTCATTTTAAATCTTAGGTAACATGAATTAGTGGAGGTACCTATATAAAAGTTTTTCAGTAAATTGTTACTATTCTCATATAAAATACACACGTGTTAATGTTATTATTTCCAGTTACTTTCAAATAACACCATTTTCTTCCAATTTTAGTCCACACACAAATACCATCTAACTCAAATTTGAATTTCCTTAGTTCTGCTAAGAGGTGGTCATTGCAAAAATTTTCTCAGTATTTCAAATATATGTCAATTTCATAGATATTATATCATTTTTTTTCTTAATACTAAGTTTATTCCCCAATATGGTTGATTTTCTGCTTTGTATAAATCTATCAAATAGTCACATGAAAATTATTTTTATTAAATAAATAAAATAGGAAACTACAAGAATGATTCAGAAAAATGATATATTCTATATTTTTGCAAATAACTATCATTTCTTGCTCAAATTTATTTAAATCTGATAGTTTTAACAGTACATAAATTCATTTATGTAAGTAATTTGACATCTTAACGATTTAATATTATTTAATCACTTACACATGGGGTTGTTTTAGGAATATCCTCCTTGTCAAAGTATTGCTATAAAAAGAGTAAAATTTTTGGTGTTCAGCATGTTGTTGCCCAGTATTATAAATGGCAAGAGTTAATACATCAGAGGTAGAAAAAGCTGTCATTCACACATTGTGAGAAGCTGGTAAAACTCAAAAGATAGCTATCAAGGTAGGTTGCTCTCCACATGCTATTCAAAACAGTTCAACTGCAGTTCCAAAGTCAAGACAATAGATAGAGAAGAATGCCAGCTGAAGACGATCCTTATTTCCAATTGATTTACCAATTGTAGTAGAATTTCCAAAGCTTGGAATAATGCTGGTTTAGCTGTTTCTTGGTCCACAACACTCTGGAAACTCAATCAGCTTAGGTATGAGAGTAGGATACAGATTTCACAGATTAATGGAACCAGGTAATTTTCAATGATCAATCAAAATTCTGTATTTCCTTCAGTGATTATGCTGCCACAATGTCTGGAGAAAGTCACATGAGAGAGAGAGGATGCCAAATGCATGAAAGTGTAAAATTACCTCAGTTTGTGAAGATTTAGGGTTGTATATCTCACTGGTGTCAGAAAGATTTATTTCTTGTAAAAGGTCAGTGAATGCTACTCTAAGAATATCTTAGACCATTTCATTATCTGATACACTGAAAACAAGTTGCTCCACCCACAGTCAGTGAAATCTACTAGAATGGTTTTGGAAGAACTGTTTTCAATTGACCTGCCAATAGCCCAGATGCAAATCCAATAGAAAAAAATTATGGGGGATCATTAAGAGGAGATTAAGAAAATACTATCCATCAAATCTTGAAGAATTGAAGCAAGTCATTATTTAAGTGTGGGCATCAGTGACACTGGAGGATTGTTGCAGGTTAATCAGTTTGTTACCACAACCATGTAAAAGTTGCTACAACAAAATATTAATATTCAGTTCTTCAAAATTGTGTTCATTAATAAATACTTTGTCTTGATAAAAAAACATTGTTTTTTTGGTCATGTACTATAAGCTTCAAATTAAAAAAAAAAAAATCATATTTATGAAAAAAACCTTGTTTGGCAGTGAAATACTAGGTTATTTTTGTATATGAAATTAATATACCTTTTTGAGTAAACTGTCTAATTTTCAAGGCATTCAAGAAATAAATACAAAGGTTATTTGCAAAAAAAAATGAAAGCAATATTCCAATTTTCTGAATTTGAGTTGTGAGAAAAACTAAATTCAATTTCTATCTAGAAAGAACACTGGCAAAAAAAAAAAAAAAACAAGAAAAGTAGTTATGTTGAGCAAAAATTACTGAGCAATTTTTTTTTAATGTCTAACTGAAAAGTTCTTTTTAATTTAATTTCCATTACATCAAAAGAATAGCCATTTACTTAAAATCATTTAATAAATATATTTTGCTTTATATTCATTAATTTGTATCTATGATAAATGTCAGACAACAAAATTGACAGTTTATATAAAAACGTCTGCTGCCTAATGAAAACTTGTAACACTCTTTATTTCTAGATATTTTGTTAAAGCCTAACCAACCCAGAACTTGAAACTGAATGTTAGATTTTTCAATTCTTGAATCTTTTCAGTGTAAATATAACTTGGAAGTATGTAAATTCAAAACTAATGTGTGAAAAAGTGAATAAAACTAACAGTGAATGAACAGAGAAAGCGATGAGAAGCATGCAAAACATTTTTATCAATAGAGACTGACAGCATTACTAAGAAAACACTACAAACATCAAAAGCAAGGGGGTCACTTGCACTCACCAGTTTGTCCTTCAAGTTCTCAATAGACTTTGATGTCTGGAGAAAAAGTGTCAGGTTAGTTAAAGGGGAGATCAAAAAGAACATAAAAACAGAAATTTTAGTTTCATTAAAATTATATACATAGATATTATACTGAGAGAAAATAAGATTGTAACACTATGAATATTTTTTCAATTTACTCAATATTAAATGTACAAGTAATCTAACTGGATTAAAGTTAAAGTAAATGATCCCCTTATACAGATCAATACTTGCACACATTACAAAATAAGGTATGTATCAGCAGTACTCAGAACCTTTACTGATACTCTGTATATCATTTCTGGCTATTAATACAGCCTGTAATCTTGCAGGCAGGTGATCATATAAATGACAAATAATATTCTGATATATTATTCTAAGCCTTTCGCAACTGTTCATGCATTACAGCAAGAGTTGCAGGTGGGATAACTATATGAGTCATGCATCATCCTATCATGTCCCATATTATTATGTTCAATAAAGGAGGGATCTTGTAATCATTTCAGCCAGGAAGTTGTTGAACATCTTCAAGAGCATATTGAGTTGAACACAGGCATTATCCTGATAGAACAGTACATCACTATTCTGTCTGTAGGAAAGGCAGTACAATAGATTGAAAATGTTCTGTACATACATAGTGTTGTTCAGTGTTATATCCTCAAACCCTAAAGGTGAGCAAGTATTCTAATCCCACACCAAAATGCCAAGTTTGTGCCATGGGTAAATACTCTGAAAGATTTTATTCTCCTGATCTATGCTTCATATCCAAATGACCATCATGAAGGAAGGACCTGCTCTTGTCACTGAACACTACAGAATGGCATTCAATCCTCCAAATGAATTTCTTATGACAGCATGTGCTTGACAGTGTTGTATGTAGAATTAACTATTTCTAATAGTCTGTATTGAAACTCTTGACGCCACATTTTCTCTGATCTATGGCATAGATACTGTACGATTTGCCACTGCTACTCTTACAACTGGTTGATCTTGGCAAGCATGTAGAACCTCGTCTATTGGTGGAGGTGTGTTCATTTAACCACTGTTGCCAATATTAAAAGCACCATTGAGATGCCACATGCTCAATGTGCAGCAACTTGCTGAAGTTAACATCCAGCCTTTCTAAAACCACCAAATCTGCTCCCTTCTTAAAAAAAAAAAAAAAAAACCTAATTGAACAAAAGGAGCACACACATGTGCATTTCCATTTGACACTTGTTTGCATTGGACTTTCACCACACTGAATCTTATTGCAGCATATGTCAGCATCAAAAGCTCAGACACAGATGAAGCACTGCTATGATTGTTACATCACAAAATAGCCAAAGACATATTTTTTTAAATAAATGCATGCACATGGTGTAAACAGGACAAAATTGGCTTCATCCTTCATGTCATAGCAATTTTATTGTGTCTGTGTGTATTAAATTACTTGCCTCCAAAAATAATGTGGGATGCACTCACTGCAAACTACTATTATTTGTTAAATTATAATAATAGTTTGAGGAGATAAATATTTTAATTATAACTTCTGGAATCTACATTGCTTCACTACCACCACCTACAAAAGTGTTACCTGTTTTGTTATTTATGTAATCAAAAACGAGTAATGAAAACATTAGAATGCAAATATTTCAAATGTTGAAGAGACCTTATTCATCAGGGCAATCAATTTTCATTCATTGAATTAAGTGCTTTACTGAAGATCACCTACAAAATGTCAATCACCAAAGATGAGGGCATAGTCTAAAAATACTACCAGCAAATATTTAAAAATCAATCCCTATCTTGTCATTCTCCTTTAGAGTGAATATGATCACTCATAATAGATAATCAGTCCAATATAACTTGTGTTAGTATAAGTAACTTCTAACAGGAGTTAGATTAGATAAAATTTTCCCCACAGAAATTAAGATGCAGCAGGAGAAGAAGAAAGTAAAACAAAATTTATACAAATCAATCACAAAACAAATTGAACTACTGCCTTAAAATGTCTAAACTATTAAATCCTGAGAATAATGAGATACAGAGTGAAATGTTAGTCAGAACAAGCTTACAAGCTTTATAAAGACATTCAGCAGAGACAGAAGATAAGAAAAGTCAGTCTAGATTTTATGGATAACTCAAAGAAACATCATAAAAGAAGGTAAACATACCTTTACATTAGCATAGGCAGTTTCCACTTTCTCTTCAACATTCTTGAATGTTTGTGAATTTCTGAACAAAAAAAAAAAATAGTAGAAAAATAGAAGCAACACAATTTTTAAGCATTTTCAAGATTGAATGTCTTTGATATTTTAAAATCAATACTTTCTAGCTGTATGTCTTGTGGAAAATATATTAATATAATCTACAGAGTTTATAGAGGAAAGGCTTGAATAACTTCTAAAATTTAAATCAAAAGGATAATATTTTACAAATAATTTATCTATATTTCTATTTCATTATGTCAAAACTTTGTTTTGAAATCACTGCGAACTGTAAAAGAAAGATCTAGAGAAAGAGAAAGGAAAACTGCTTCACCTTAAATCACCAAATCTCTTGCTAACGGAAGCACCGATTGTTGATAGTGCAGATGCTGTCTTTTCTGAGGCAGACTTCATAACAGTTGAGGTCTTCTGGTACCTATGCACAAGAGAAGAAATCATGAAAAACATTCATAAGAGAGTTTATACAAGACAAACTCACCCAAATAAACTATTCAAGATGTTTTGGTCACACTGCTCTGAATCATTTTATGCATAACCAGAATTGTTAAAGATTTAAAATTGTTTTTTATTAAATCATTTCACTCCAAGCAAGGCAATAAAGCCACTAAGAGGTAAGGGGTTACTGAGTGTGAAAGAAACTGAGAAAAATTGTCTAAATAATTTGTTGCTCAATCAAATTCATCATATTTAGTGACCAATATCCACATTCAAGTATAAACAATGAGCAATAAAAAAAATAGTTGTGAACAATTCTAGCACATTTTAAAACTATTTGGCAACAAATGAAATACCATATCAATTTTAAAAAGTACTATTTATGAATTTTGAAGATTGTGCATATATGATATAAATAATACCATGTACTTACGTATATAATGTATTTCCATTAATATTGATCACAATTGTTTCATGAAATAAGGAACATCAGAAGCAATTTGGAAGTTTCTATTTCAGTCATATTTAAAATTAAGATACTAAAATAAATAAGTCCAGGGATACTTTTCGAAAGGATTAAACCAAAATTAAGGTAAGTCTTCTTAAAATTTAGATTCAACAAAAATGAGAAACAGGAAAACTACAATATCATTTTGAAGTTTGTCTCTACAAAGCAAGGAAATTTTTAATTTTATTACTGAAAGAAGTCTTCAGTTAGTTATTCATTTTTGACTTCTTTCCTATTTATTTAACTTGCTTTTTATCAACTACTAAGACCACCATTCTACAGCTGTTAGTAAATAGCACAGATTGAAAATAAACACTTGTTTCTTATCCACTCTGTTCCCTAAGAGACAAAGAATAACTATGTTGTGATATAAAAAAAAAAAAGAAAAAAAAAAAAAAACAGCTGAAATTAAGATGAAAAGGGTACAAACCAAAAATTAATATTAAAATTTATAACTATTTTAAGGCTAATAATGTTTCTAATATGTAATAAAACATATTGAAAATTTATTTGTTAGCTTTTTTTTTTTAGCCTTTTATCATATAGGTACATGCAAAGAAAATGCTATAAATGATACAAATTTACATCTAGAATTATAGATGATTTCTTTTAGTATTATCAATGCTTAAATCAACAATTAGTGTGCCAGTGTAACTGAACAATATACTCCCATCATACTACCACCTTCATTAAGAGGGACATATTGCAATTACTCAGCCACACCCTCCTATCAGATCATACAGATTTGGTCCACCTGTTAATGCCAATGGACACAGATAATTATAATCTCAATTATATACTAACCTGTCATTCCTAGATTTTTTCTTTGTTTTATTCTTTTTTACTTAACCTTTTACCCACCTAATCAACTGTTTTACAAACAAAAACATGTTCACAACTACTAAAAAATAAAGCAATAGATATTTCTTTATCTGCAGCCAAATTTTAAAATTTCAACATGTACTTAATAGAATTCAACAAAAAAACATTTACACTTACTCCAGTAAAATAAACATTACCAAATTTGACTAAAGGTAAAAAATAAAAGTCAAATACACAATAATTGTTATATTCATATCATGTAATGAAAAGAAAATTCAAAGCAAGGAGGTTGGGGAGGAAATGGATTGGAGTAAAGTTTTTTTTTTGTTTTTTTTTAATTTTTTTTTCCTTTCTTCAGTTATTAATAAAAATAATCAAAATTGGAATGAGAAAATGCAGTTATAGATTTGCAGAATGGGAGGAAAAAGACTAAATAAATTAACCACTGCTTTTGAGCAGAAATGGTCGGTTGAAATTTAGTTTGTCAACTTCAAACAAGTTTACTGAATAGTATCAAGAAGGGTTTCCTTAAACTGGAAAATATTCTCCTTACTTTCCTCAAAAGTAGTCATTAATTTTTGTAAACATGCACCTAAAATAATAAGCATTAAAAGCTAGACATTTGAGGTCATGTGTTATAAAAGTAGAATATTCAGGATGAAATAAAAATTTTGTTAGCAGACATTCACAGTTTACAAACATCAGCTTTAATTTGCCATTTATATTAGAATTGTAATAATATTAATTTTTGACTAACTCTTCATCTTAGTTGAATAGCTTTTGATTTAAAAAAAAAAAAAAAAAAAGAGTACAAAATTGAATAAAGTAGCTTTTGTCGAGACCTGAACATGATTTCTGTATAGTGAAGATCATTTTACATGGAGGATATCATAACCACTTCAACCACAAAGATATATTGCTATTTCTATCCTCAAATTATGCTATAGATTATTTGTTTACAAGACATAAAAAAAAAAAAAAAGATAAGTGAATGCTTTAGTCATGTTATCAAAATATTCTAACAACCTTTTACATATTAAATATTACAAAAATATCATTCAAGACTACTTTATAAAAAAACATTTATATTTATAATTGGATAGAAACTTGTATAAAAAAAAAACTAAATTAAAGATTTCAGATAATAAACCTGAATAGTGCCTATCAAAAATGACTGGATTGTTTGTGTTTGGTTTTGCACTTCTGCCAGCGATCAAGGTATCTATGCAATCGGTGAAAAGTGTCACACGCACACAGATACACATGAGGCCTGATTAAAAAGTATCAGGACTGTTGCTAGGGTAATAGAGTTAAAGTATACTGAGTGAAGCCACTTGGTACAGACTGACATTGAACTGTGTTACACATACACTACAAGTTATAATGTTCTTGCTCACTTTCATTGTTCATAGCAGTGCTTGGAAGGAAAGTGTATAGAGTGTGGTTGTCTCATCACATCAGAGGTTCCATCAGTGACCGTGGCCTGTACAGCAGTTTTTGGCCACGAAGTACATTCCCAAAATCTGACAACCACCATATTCCCCAGATCTTGCACTTTGCAACTTTCTCCTCTTCAAAAATCAAATCACACTTGAAAGGAACAAGATTTCAAGGTGTTAAAATCCATGAGAATGTGATGAGGCAACTGCTCCCTATCCCATAAAAGGACTCCCAAGAATGCTTCCATCAATGGAAATGACACTGGCTAAAGTGTGTGGCTTCAGAAGGGGGACTACTTCAAAAGAGATTAATGTCTGAATTGATAAGTATTGTAAGTCTCTTTTTATAGCACCAGTACTTTTTGATCAGATCTCGTGTATCTATTTCAAACATTTAAAAAACTCTCATATTACCCATTTAGAAATTAAACTTGTACTCTGTGAATGTTTGTTAATTACAGCAATATGTCTACAGTAAAGAATTATTCATCAACAAGAGCATCATGTGCATCAGGTAACTAAGTGCTCAAGTACTTACAAATCAGTTGTTGTGGCAGAGTTCCTGCATGGAGATAAATGTCACAAGTGTTACAAAACTTGATACACAAACCACATTGCAAAAATGTGTTAAGATTTAGTTTCCTCTTGAGGATTCTTTTTTTTAACTTGTATATACAATCATTATGCGAAAGTATGACCAAAATAATTTAAAGAAACAAACATTGGTGCATCAATTTTTTTTTTCATGATACTTTAAAAAAAAAAAAAAAAAAAAAAAAAAAAAGGTTTTTATGTACTTAGCAAAGTGAAATGAAGCCAATTGTTTGAAAATGGCAGAAAATAACTTTTTTCTGAGGAATTTAGCAAGAATTGATTCAACATTTAAATATACGTTGCTTTTCTGGAAAATGGCCTTTGATTTGTATCCTGCTTAGTGTAGAGCACTTGTGATAATTTAATAACATGTAATATTTAAGTAAAAAAGATACAAATTTTCATATTGTAGTCCAGAGGTGGCAGGAAGGAGAGAGGAAAAAAGAATTTGCTGAATTAGTCTGACAAGGTTAAAGATCTACACACCTCATAATTAAGCAATTTATTCTATGAATGCTGTTACAACTGTATTCATCTGACAGTTATAAACATTTACTAAAACTAGTCTGACACAAGGCCACAAATGTGAGGCATCCAATGAGGACTGAATTCAATACATTAATAAATGCCTAAGAGACTAGCTTCTTAACCACTGTCATATGAAACTATGCCATCATACGTTAAAAATGTAAGCAAGTTAAACTTTACTCACGGCTGTTGAATGCTGACAATGTATGATAACGAATCAAATTTACAACACACAGACTGATTTGGGACAATTTGTTAAGATTCAACAAGATTTTGAAGACTATTTTCAATCTATTCATACAATCCATATAAGAAAAATAGAAAAGCATTAGTTAAGACTAGACACATATTTGCTGAAAAAACATTAAATTTAAACAGGACAAATCACAATTTTGTAATTTAATAGAAAGTAAATGATATAATAATAAAAGAAGCATTTAACTCATCTGACCAAGTCAAAATCAAATTCTAAACAAATATTTTGAAAGAGCAGATAACAACAAACAACCAAAATCACATTTTTAAACTATCAATACGCACAAGAGTCAATGAGTAAAAAGATTGATTACTACAGCTATGGCTACATTATAATAGGAAGAAAAACATCTCAAAGCATTTTGAGAGTTACTTTTTAAGCAGTACATCATATACAAACAAATACACTGGTAACTTACTAACCTT